ACGTGAGCCGAGCGTGAGTGACATCTGCCTGAGTCTGCAGAGAGCCTGAACCAATAGCTCAGAGGAGAGCGAACTCCCCGTCTGCCTTTCTGGGGCATCAGCTCTGACAGGTCAGTGATGACACTTCACTAACTATTTCAGTGCTGATGTCTGAGCAGCTGGAATAGGGAAGGAGATAGGAGCCCCAAGGGAGGTGAGACTTAGGAGTGGCTGCAGAGAGGGAAGAGGAGGAGACACCAAGGAGATATGTGGCAACATGGGAAGGGCAGGATGGACATAACCTCTCACCACCTGACCTTCAAGTTGAGAACCCCCCTTAACCATGCAATCCCTGGTCGGGGTGGAGAGCAAAGGTGGTGGGGAGGGGGAGCCTGGCACCTGCCTTCAGCTCAGTAATTTTCTCCTCTTCGCTTGATTTCTGTTTCAGAACCGCATCCAGCTTCTTCTTCAGCGGATCCAGGTGGCCCTGGAGTTTCATCTACAAAGAAAAGACAATAAACATCCTCCCCACCCCCGACAAGTTTATCACCAAATCTGTCTTTTCTATATGTGTTTTCCTTTACTGGGCTCATGGGTTTTAATGTCAAGAGTGGCCATCTAGTCCGGCTTCAATGGACCAGGAGGCAGCATGGTCTAACGGTAGAAGCAGCATAGCAGGAAACCTGGGGTCAATTCCTGGCTCTGTCGCAAAGTCCCTGTGTGACCTAGAGCAAGCCACTCGATTTCTCTGGGCCTTGGCTCCCCCTGTGTAAAACAGGGGACAATCCTTCCCTGGTCTGTCCTGTAAGCTCTCTGAAACTCCCCCACCTGCACGTACAGAGCCAAGAACAACAGGGCTGCCATCAGCTGGAGCTTCCAGGCGCTGCTGCAATATCCAGACTCAGGAAATCTGTAGAGACTCCAGCCTGAACTATTCTGGTTTTGCTGGAGGACTAGAGAGGGCGAGGGCGGGACAGTAACATTGCAACAGGTTGAAACTTGAGCTGCGGTTGCACGCACTTAGGGCTTGTCTACACTTGAAACGCTCCAGCGCAGCGCTTCGGCGTAGACACTGCCTACGCTGATGGGAGGGGTTCGCCCGTCAGCATAGGTCCTCCACTTCTTCAGAGGAGGTAGCTAGGTCGAAGGAAGAATTCCGTCAACTGAGCACTGCCTACACCAGGGGTCAGGTCGGCTTACCCACATTGCTCAGGGGGGCGGATTTTTCAGACCCCTGAGCGATGTAGCTGGGTCGACTGAACTTTTTAGAGTAGGCCAGGTCTATACCTACATCACAGTTATATCACTCTGATGGAACACAAGTTGGCCCAGTAAAAGATATGACCTCACCCTCCTTGTCTCTCTAATATCCTGGGACCGACACAGCTACAACAAACACTGCAAACGCACTTTAAGCCTTGTTAAAAAAGCAAGTCTGAGGTCCGTTTAAAAACTCTCCCTACTCTGCTTCAACCCAGATGTTTTGATAACATTTTCCTGGTTTTGTTTTTTCCTTTCCCGTTGCTGTGGAAAAGTCCCCCAACAAACAGGGAATGGACTAATTATACAGAGGGCCAGCCATGGAACTGGTAATCCACACAGTGCTGTCCATTGCAAACAGGAAAAACTGAGAAAAGAGATAAAACACCTCCCTGGATCTCTTCTATTTACAGGAATATTGGGCCTTGATCCTGCAAATGCTTATGAGGGTAATTTTACACAGATATGTAGCCCCCCTGAACTCAACAGGGGCTAGTCACTCTTTGCAGGACCAGGGTGTTAGCTGTAACTTTTATAAGTATTTATGATTTTAACAGTGGCAGCACCTAGGAGCTCTAGCCAGGGATCAGGACACCACTGCGCTAGGTACTGTACAAATAGAACAAAGAGGCAGCCCCTGCCCCAAAGAGCTTACGGTTAGAGCCCTGCCTGGGTACAAAATTTAGATCCGCAGATGCGGATATCCATGGATATAAAGCAGATATCCGCGGAGCTGCAGGGCTCTACCAGGAATACAGACCACTGTGTGGACAGTACTCCTGTCTGGGAGCATGCAAGCCACTTGCACAGACTTGCGCAACCAGGGACAGCTGCTGGTGAGCCTGGTGCCCGTCCCAGTGGGCAGGGCTGGGGGCAGCACAGCCATACTGGAAGAGCTGCTGGGCTGGAAGCGTCAGCCCAACATGCTGCTGCTTTAGCTGCTGTGGTTCCTGGTAGAGCCCTGCAGCCTGCAGTCCAGAGCTCATTGCTCTGCACGGTTGTCTGCCTGCATTCCAGCTGGAAGGGGTCACCCGGGCTGTATGGGCCTGCCCCCACTGCAGTCATGCCAGCAGGGGTGGGGTGGCACGCTCTGCTGAATGGGGTCCTCGTCCTAGCATGACCTCTGTACAGGGACCGTGGAGGTGACCCAGAACTAGCATCTGGCTCACACCATTGAAAAGGTCAGATCACCCTTGTGACACTAGCAGTTGCCACATTTCCAGGCAGAGTTTTAAGCTGACAGCATCTCTCTAAAGACTTCCTTTTTCTACAATGCCCAGAAGAGTCAATGATCACAGAAATAAGCTTTTCAATTGAACCCAGACACTGAGGTTCAGAGTGTCAGAGGTATTTAGACGGCTAAGTCCCACTGAAGTCAGCATCTAAATGCCTGTGATGATCTGAGCCTGAGTAACTGATGGTCTTATTGGTCTGATCCTCTCCCAGTCTTGCTGCTTGTTATCCCCCATCAAGAGGTCAGACCCTGCTCTCAGCTCCACTCACTCAGTGGGACTCAGGAGCTACTCACAGCAGCGCTGACTCCGGGAAACGCCTGCATAGAGCTCCTCCCACAAGGGAGGCCTTACAGTGTAAGCTGCCTATGACCTGAGAAGGGCCCAGAAAACACACCTGTGGGAGCCGGAAAACAACCAAACAGCTCCCATCTATCCCATCCCAATGCAATCCAGCACCAGCAGCCTCTGACCAGCCTTACCAAATGACTCAATTCGGCCAACCCCATCCCATTGCGGATCAAACCAACTCGTCACCACACCCAGCTGCGTGAACACCTGATCAAGCCAGCAACTCCCAGCCAACCACTCAATGCCCCCCACCCCAACACCATCAGTCACCAAGTGAACCCAACTCCCTCACTGAAGCAAAGCAGTACCTCCAGCCACTAACTAGCTTTACCAAAGCCATCACTGCCAATGCAATCCTCTGCAAATGAAGCAGATCTCCCCTATTCAAACCACCTGGTCAAGCCAAAACTTCCCAGCCAACTAGCCCCCAACTTCAGGCACATCGTGCCTGGGGTAGTCGAATTTGGTCTGCTGGTTGGACCATTAGCTTCCCTGGCTCGGGCCGGGTACTGATGGATAGTGTGACGTGAACGCTGATCCATGCATGCTCAACTACCATCAGACAGGAACCAACTCAACACAACCCACCAGCCTCTAGCTAGCCTTTACCAAACCCAACGCTGCCAACTGCATACCTTGTAATCCTGCACCACCTCCTCCAGCGGGACAACGCTGTGGTGCTTATGGCTCCGGGACTCCCGACACACCACGCAGATGGCCTGCTCGTCCACCTCGCAGAAGAGCTTGAGGGGTTCCTGGTGTTTCTCACACAGAGCTCGTTTCTCCAGCTCCCCTGCTACTCCTGCCGCACCCCCAGATGCTGAAGTCCCAGCAGCCGGTGATGCGAGTCGCTGTGGGTGTGGGTGCATCTGTCGGATGATGTGCACCATATTGGCCAGCTGGAGGTTGGGCCGGAAGTTCCTCTGGGGGAAGGTCTTGCGGCACTGGGGGCAGGTGAAGGTTGTGGGGTGTCGAGGCCGCGTGACCACTGCTGCTGGCGGAGGCGGTGGCAGCGGCTCTTCTTCTTCCTCCTCCAGATCCTCTTCCTCCATCACCTCCTCATCGTAATCGTCCTCCTCGAAGAAAAGCTCATCTCCTACCTCGTCCTCCCACATGTCATCCTCCCCTGGGTCGTCCCATAGATCAGTGTCCTCATCCTCCTCACTCCACATATCGTCTTCCTCCTCGGCCCCGTTGTCCCCATCCCCCTCTTCCTCCTCATTGTACTCTATGTTGTCATCATCGTCCAGCTCATCCACATCGTCCTCCTCGCCTCCCATCCCCACGTCGTCCCCCGCGGCCTCATACGCGGCCTGGCCCTCGCCCTCCTCCTCGCCTCCCCAGAGCTGAGTGATGCAGACGCGGCAGAAGTTGTGGCCGCAGCCAATGGAGACGGGGTCGGTGAAGTAGTCGAGGCAGATGGCGCAGACGGCCTCCTCCTGCAGCGTCTCCACCGCGTTGGGCCGCCCACCCCGGCCCCCCATGGAGCCGCCTTCCCCAGCCACCGCCATGGACCCCCTGCACCAACAGAGCAGCCCCCACCCTCAGCTTCCCCCCCGGGGTCCTGAGCCCCCTGCCCTGAGCCCCCCCGGTCCTGAGCCCCCAGCCCTGCTCTGAGCCGCCCCCCCCCCGGAACTTGAGGGCCCCCCTGGAACCTGATCCCCCCCCCTTATCCTAGGCCTCCCTTTGCCCCAGACACCAGCAAGGCCCTGAGCTTCTTCCGTCTCCTCCCTCCAGCTCCTGCCCCCCACTCAGGGCCCTGCCCCCCTCCCCCCACTTGGGCCCTGCCCCCCTCAGGGCTCTGAGCCCCCGGAGCCTCCTGCTCCCCCGGGGCCCAGCTGACAGCTGCCCCAGCCAGCCAAGTGTGGCAAAGGACGCTCTACCCTCCCCGGCCACCGCTCTCTATGGTGTGCGAGCTTTTTTTTTTTTTTTTTCCCCTCCTCCCCTTCACCGGAAGTGGCTGCGAGACAATCTATCCCCCACAGACGGGCTCCCCCATGCGATGGTACGTGGTCATGTGACCGGAAGTGGCGTCAAGACGCTCTCTCGCCCCTCGAGAGGGAAGCGGTCTTTTGAGCGGAAGTGCCCGCCGGACGCTCTCTCCCCACCCCCTCTCCCCAGCACTAGAGTATAACGGCACGTGACTGGAAGTGCGTGCGAGACGCTCCATCCCCCTCTCTCTCACGGTCTATGGTCTAAGGACATTGAAGCGGAAGTGCCTGCGAGACACTGTACCTCCTGCCCTCTATGGTGAAAAGGTCTTTGTGCGGCAGGCCCTGCGAGGCGATCTAACCTCACGGACGCGCCGCTCTGCGGTGCGAGTCTCGCCCCCTACCCCGATCTGCGGTGCCTGCAGGACGCTCTATCTGCACCCAGCGCCTCTCTATGGAGTTTAAAAAAAGACCGGAAGTGAACGGGTGGGACGCGCTATCTCCTGGAAAGGGCCTTTTCTCTATGGCCTCTCTGCGGGAGGGGTATGACGCTCTGGCTTCTGCCTCCCTCTAGTCTCTATGGTCAAAGGGGGCGGGAGCTGACGTTCTGGGGGCGGGGCTGGCATAGGCCCCGCCCTCAGTGGAGTGGGAGGAGCCACTGAGGCCATGACGGGGGCGGGGGGCACTTAGTGGGGGAGGTCAGAGGCAGCCCTGGGGCTTGCGGGGGAAGGTTGGAAGCAGCCCCTGCGGTTGCAGCCCTGCAGAGCTGTCTGCCCCTGGCCTGGTGGTGGGCACTGGGTCAGGCCGACGAGGGTGTTGTGGGGCCACGAGAACGAAGGAGCTGAGAGTGGGGGGACGCTGGTTGTGGGAGGGGCTGGTGAAGGCGTCTGGGGGGCCGCGGTCCGAAGCACTAGGGTCTCCCTCTCACCGCCTACGGGGCAGGCATTGGGGACTCTGTGAATCCTGCTGAAGGAATCATATCCCCGGTGGGCCATGGGATCAGGGCGCAGTGGAGGCTGGCCTGCCAGGGCTTCCCTCCCCCCGTAGGTGGCTGCAGGTCCCCCCTACTTGGCATTGGGCCTGTGTCCAAGGCAGATCTCCCCAAAGGGGATCCATCCACCACACCCTTCTACAGGGCAGCAGGGTGAGGTGTGGGGGGACAACAGAGGGATCCCCTGAGTCTGGGAAGAGGTCAACAAATGTGAAAACAGGAAAAGCGTGTGGGTACAAGGTTCAGAATTAGGGATCCAGAGGGGGCTGCCGAGCAGGGGAGTCCGGAGAGCGCCCATTGGTCTTTGAAAGAGTCCAGGGAGCTGGGGGATGCCAGCCACAGGAACTCTGCCTGGAGACTGGAACAGACGAGTAAACGTAGGTCAGCCCCGCAGTCACAAAGAACACCCACCCCTGCCCAACCTTCTCGTCCTCAATGGATAGATGGCCATTTTAGCCAGGGCGAGGAGAAGGGCCCCAAGACGGCATGGGGCCGCGGATAGGGGGTGAACAAATAAAGAGGTGTGAGGAAAAATGCAGTCGGGACCTTGGCAGGAGGTTCTGGAGGAGATGAAAAAGGGTCTGCAACCAGGCCTGCTGCAAATACTCGTGCAGCAGGATCTCCTTGCCACAGAAAGAACAACTGTGGGAGGACTCTGTAAACCGTGTCAGCATCACATCCATGCTAACAACTCCATGAAGGAGCTTCCAACTTATATCCCCAGTGGGCTGTGAGATCAGGGTACAATACAGGTTGGCCCACCTCCGCAGGTGACAGCAGGTTCCACCACATGGTCTTGGGGCGGAGCTGGCTGAGTACCCGCCTCTCCCAAGTATCTCACAAGCGGAAGCAGGTGGGAGATGCTCTGTGCCCCTCACCTTGTAGTCTATCTGGTGCCTGCAATGGGGAGCTGGATTATCTAGCCCCCATCTCACTGGCCTGGGAGGTATCCAAGGGGAATCTCTCTCCCCAGCCAGAGGGGGTGGGGATAGTGGGGGAGGGGTCTAGTGGAGGGTAAGGGGCTTGTATGGGGAGGTGAGAGGGGATTAACAGAGGGGAGGGACTGGATGGGGAAAGGGCTGGTTGAGGGAGGGGTCTAATTGAGTGGGTGTGGTTTGTGTATGGAGGAGGGAGGGGTTTCAGTGAAGGACCCTAATGGTGGGTGGGAACTGTGCAGAGGAAGAACTTATGTGAAGGTTCCTCATGGGGGGGGAAGGGGCAGGAGCAGGAGCCTGTAGGAAAAGGGGGTGGAGTAGAAGGAGAAATGGGGACTAAATCCCCCAAGTTAGAGGAGTGAGAGAGCAGGGGAAATAAAGAGGCCAAAGCAAAAGGAAGAGCATGATGGATTTGAAGCTGCATGTAATAGTCTATGAATTCGACATGCTCTGAGTACTGTAGAGAGGTTTACTGGTTGCAGATGTTGGGTTACTGCTGTTGCTCAAAGAAATTGGTTAGTCTCTAAGGTCCCCCCATTCCCCCTTTTTTTTTGAACACAGACTAACCGGCGTTCCTCTGAAACCTTCAATAATCGAGTGATCAGGACACTCCCCAGAAAGATGGGCAATACACAGATAAGAAATCCTCAGCAAATGGCCAGGACTAACCATAAGATGTTGCCTTTGTCTCCCAGTGGGCTGCAGAAACTGGTTTGACCAGCTTCAAGAGACTTAAGTAGAACAAAGAACTTTGAGTGAATTAAAGGGCAACCCAGCGAATGGAAGGAACACTTGAAGAACAGGGTCTGCTGGTGTACAGGCCTGTGTTCTTAAAAGCACAGCATCCCAATGCCAAGACAAGACAGCTGTTCCCTATCAGACATGATGTATTGAGCAGCAAAAGGAGATTTGATCCAGTAAAATATTTTACATCCACCCACTGACAAAAATTGCAATAGTCATACATGATTTTAGTGTTAAAGAATCCCTGATCAATGTATCTGTCTGCATAAAGCCTCCGAGGAGCTCACAAATTTGTCTTACCTGGTGTTCTGATTGCCTGAGTTGGACTGGGATTTTTTGTTAATCCACTGTTCATGGAGTTTCACTCCTTTAAATTGGTGACTTTTACAAATGCTATTTTGATGACTCTTAGCACTTCATCATTTCCCGTCATTAACATGGTGCAGATGGTTGTCTGTGTGTTCATTCATTTCTGTTTTCATAGCAAATAATCATTGAAAATATAAATAGTTACTAGTAGTTTCAGCAGTCACCTCTCACAGTGTTTCGAGTGTAACACATCCTGTTTGTATGGCAGACAGCAGTATGAGGTTTTAATGCTAAATTTTTGTTCTTTTTACCCAGTTTATTCTTTGGGATCATATGACTTCAAGGCTGATGCTGATTATGCAGTGAATGCTTCTCTTTCCCGAGCAGAGGTATTTGCATCTGAATGTCCCCCTCCCGCCCCATTCATGTGGATGTAATGGAAATAAAAAAAAAACAAATTTTAAACTAAAGGAATTAACAGAGGCTTCAAGCCCTTCAATTCCCCTTATTCAGGGCTTGTCTACATGGTGTGATGCTAAAAGTGTGAAGTTATTGCGCCGTAAACCCATATGGATGATCTTGTTCAGAAGTAAAGTCATGTTAGTTATGACTATAGCAGTCATGGCAACCATAAAAGATTGCAAGAGTCCTTCCCAAAAACACTATTATTCATCAGACCTTTGATGTGTCCAGAACGCTTACAATTTTTTGAATAGTCCAGGTATAACCCACATTTGATTTTTCAAAAAAGAAGGAGTGAAGCAATGGGGCACTCATCTTAATTTCCCTGAGTGTTGCCCTGTGTGGAAAAGTCACTATGATATTTCCCAGATCTCAATTTTGGCCTGACAAAATTGCAATAAATGGTTTACGGTTGAAATTTAAGATGATCTCGCCTCTTCTCTCTACTGGTCAGGGTATCTGTTATGACCAGGAGAATGAAGGCTGGATAGTGTCATCATGGTAGATCCTCTTGTGCGCACAGATGGTGTTGGCTTGGCTGTACAGGGATCCCCTCTATAAGCGATGTATAGAAATTCTTGTCCCAATAGAATTAACCAATCGATCCACATTTTTAGTGCTCAACTGTAAAATTCCTCTTTGATCTCAGCCTCTAGCTGCTCACTAATCACATGTCATATAAAGCATACCTGTTACTATGTACTCCCTGGGGAATTTTTCTCACAAACACAGCATTGTCTCTGACACCTTTCTGACATTTTCATGGTAATATTAATGACTGCGATATCTGCCTAGGTGTTAGGACACAGCCTGAGAGGCTGTAATAAAAATATTTTCAGCTCACTTAACACATTGTGGTGTTGCATCTCAGCCCATGGGCACAGTGCAGGGCCCATCACCCAGCCCAGAAACACCCAGAAATAGGCTGTGATTGCCCTTACGAGATATGCTCTGTACTTTGTTTCTGAAGCTGTGTAGGATGTTTTCATTGTAGGCAAACCACCTGGCAGGCCGCTCCCTCTTTACTCACCTGACCGATAAGCTGATCAGACATCAAGGGGGGGAAATATTATAAACATATCTGCTTAAGACAGCCCTGTGATATCAGCGGCTGCTCAGTGCAAGAGCATGCCCATGTGCTGACAGCGCTGAGAAGTGTTTTGAGAAGAAGGATGGAGGATGCTGACATTCTTATGCAGCACTGAAGAAGCCAGGTGCACACAACTGCACGTTACGCCCACATTATAGAGACCCCAGGCAAGATTCACAAAGCTCCTTAGATGCCTAAATTTGGGTTTCGGGGCCTAAGTCTCAAGTTTTGGCTCCACAACTATTCCCACAACTCCTGTCAAATCATCTAGGCTCCTAAACTCACCCAGTGCCTACATTTTCAGGGAAAAAGTTCCTTTGGTGCCTGCCCCTGGGTGGGGGGATATGAGGGGGTTTGGGCCCAGGGATGGCTTAATCCGGCCCTACAAATAACTCCAGGAACCTGGCGACAAAGCACTGACAGCTCCATGACCTGAGCTAGGGGAGCAGAGCTGGTAGCTCCGGCCCAGGGCTGGTAGCCAGGGAGTCTGGTGTGCAGACAAGAGACCAGCTCTGACCCACCTGCTCCCTGTGCCCATCTGTTACCAGAGTGGTCACATACAGTCAGTGTCATCGAGAAGCATGCTGCCTGCAGCTCCAAGCTCTGGGCAGCCTCTCTAGGACCAGCACCCCCATCACCTCTGTGCCCCCATAGACAGGAACAATCTCCATAGAGGCCCCCCGCCCTTCTCCCCCCTCCCCAGGACATTGACGTCTCCTTTATCTAGTCACTGACACGGTGGCTTCTATGCACGATGCTGCCTAATGTGGGGAGAAGCTGCCCGTGCCCAGCGGAGGTGGGTCCCCAGGGGGCAGGGTCTGGGGCAGGCGGTTGCAGCGCGGTGGGTTGATCGCTAGGACCCAGGAGCGGCTGGGGGGCGGCTCTGGGGGGAGGATCGCGGGGTTCAGCCCGGCCCAGGAAGTGACTCGCAGCCGCTGCGGGGACTCTGGCTCCCGGCGAGATCCCCGCGCCCCGGCGGCTGGTGCTGGGAGCCCGGAGCCCGGGCTGCAGCCGGGAGAGGGGAACCTCCAGCCGGGCCCTGCCCGCTGCTCCCCGGGAGCCTCTCCCAGGGCAGAGCCCCCAGCCCGGCCAGGGCCCCTTCCCGGCCCGGCCCCTGCCCCGGGGGCCCCGCTCGGAGGGAAGGTAAGAGAGACCCGCCCCCCCCCGGCACCCCCGGGCTGCTCCCCGCGGAGCCGGCTGCGATTCCCTGCCCCGAGCCCGGGAAAGCTGCCGGAGCTCCCGGTGTGCGCGGGGCGGGGGGAGCCCGGCCTGGGGGCTGGGACAGTGACACCTGGGGGTGGGAGCGGGAGGGGGCTGAAGAGGGGCGGGGGGAACAGGGGTGTGTGAGGCCAGGGGCAGGAGGGGGATGGGATGGGGGCAGGGGGAGGGGGCTTTAAGAGGCGGCTGAGGGGGGCTTTAAGAGTTGTCCAGCCTGGTGGGGACTTTCTCCGGTGCCGGAGCCTGCAGATGAGGGGAGAGACCCTGGGGGAAAGGGCTGGGGCCTGGCAGGACAGTGACTCTGCACAAAGGGCCCCTTTCAGGGACCTGCTGGTGAGTTTGTGGTAGATGGGGAGCGAGTCCCAGAGCTGCTGCCTTCGGTGACACTCCCAGGCTCACACTCCTTCTAGTAGACTGGTGTGGAGACAGTAAATCAGGAAGTGTTATTTACTCCTTCTCATAACACAAGAACTAGGGGTCACCGAATTAAATTAATAAGCAGCAGGTTTAAAACAAACAAAAGGAAGCGTTTCTTCACGCAACGCACAGTCAACCTGTGGAACTCTTTGCCAGAGGATGTTGTGCTGGCCAAGACTATAACAGGGTTCAAAAAAGAACTAGATAAGTTCTTGCAGGACAGGTCCATCAATGGCTATTAGCCAGGCTGGTAGGGATGGTGTCCCTAGCCTCTGTTTTGCCAGAAGGTGAGAATGGGCGACAGGGGATGGATCAGATGATCACCTGTTCTGTTCATTCCCTCTGGGGAGCCTGGCATTGGCCACTGTCAAGACAAGACACTGGGCTAGATGGACCCTTGGTCTGATCCAGTGTGGCTGTTCTTGTGTTTTAGACGAAGTAGCTGATCTGTGTACAGGAGAACAAATGCCCAGAAGAACAGGACAGTCACTAGTTGTCCGAGGCAGAGGGGAGGAGAGAAAACGAAGGAGACAGAAAGGGAAAGAGAAGAGACTGAAAGGGGCAGCAGGAGCGGTAAGTGAGGAGGGAGGTTCTCAGCTCCCAGCCCTGGCCTGATCCATTCCCTGCATCCCCCTGGGCAGCCTGACTCTCCTGGGAACAAGGTGAGGAGCTGACAAAGGGAAAGTTCCTGCCCTGGCCGAGCTGCTGGATGCGCTGCCCTTGGGGCCAATGTCGGGGGGAATCCACCAACGCAGCTCCTTTGATTCTGCTCTTTTCTAGTGTTTGGCTCAGACGACCTGTTACGGGGGGTGTGGGGGGGATTTAAAAGTGTCTCGTGGGGGTTCAGTGCTGGTGGGAGGGGCTGGGTCTGTGTTGTAATAAAGTGACTGAGGGTTTTCCCAGCATGTCAGAGTCCAGAGCATCTGTCTGCAGGGAGGGAGCCTGGGGGAATCGGGGTGTGAAATAGACTCAAGCCCCTTCTGTAACCTCCCCAATGGCCCCTCTCGCCCTGACAGCCTGACGAATTACGTCTATGTTTTGCTCCAGGTCCTCCCGTCTATGTTTTGCTCCAGATCCTCCCGTCTTCCAGGGGACAGGGAAAGGAAATGGCTGTGTTGGAGCCAGCTCAGGGAGGAGATTTTCAGGGAGCTGCAGGGGGGATTTGTTGTAGAGGGGGAGGGGCAGGAAACACACTGGGTGAGGCAGGGAGGGGACAGGGTGTGATAAAGCTGCTGGATCAACCTGGGCCTGATTTTCTGAACAGGCCCATTGGTGGGGGTGGGGGAGAAACATTCCCCCATTTCTGAAACAGGAAACACCACCCGGGGCAGGGCTGGGAAAAGTGACCAGACTCCCAGTGCCGGAGCCTGAACCCACTGGCCAGAGGCTACTGTGGTATTTTGATAGGTCCATAGATTCCAGGGACTGTTTTCATCATCTAGTCTGACCCACTGTATAAACCAGGCCTGAGAACTTCCCCAAAATAATTCCTAGAGCAGATGAATAACATCTGATCTTGATTAAAAACTTGTCTGTGATGGAGAATTGGTAAATTCTTCCAATAGTGAATTACTCTCACCATTATAAATGTACGCTTTATTTCCTGTCTGAATTTGTCTAGCTTCAGCTCCCAGCCCTTGGATTGTGTTATATCTTTCTCTGCTAGACTGATGAGCCCTTTATTAAATATTTGTTCCCTCTGTAGACTGCAATCAATTCACTCCATAATCTTCTCTTTGTTCACCTAAACAGATAGAACTCCTTGAGTCTATCACAATAAGGCAGGTTTTCTAATCCTTTGATCATTCTCCTGGCTCTTCTCTGAACCCTCTGCAATTTGTCAACATCCTTTTTGAACTGTCAGTACCAGAACTGGACACAGGATTCCAGCAGTGCCTGCACCAGTGACAAACACAGAGGTAAAATAACCTCTCTAACACCTACGCAAGATTCCTCTGTTTATACATCCAAGGATCGCATTCGCTCTTTTGGCCACAGCGTCATACTGGGAACTCATGTTCAGCAGATTATGCACCATGGTTCCCATAGAGTCACTGCTTCCCAGAACGGCATCCCCCATCCTGGAAGCATGGCCTACTGTCTTTGTTCCGAGCTGTATATGTGTACATTTAGTCATATTCAAATGCATATTTTTTGCTTGCACCCAGTTTACCAAGTGATCCAAATTGATCTGAATCAGAGACCTGGCTTCTTCACTGTTTACCAATCCCCCAATTTTTCTGCCCTCTGCAAACCTGTTTAGTTATGATTTTGTTTTCTTCCAAGTCATTTCTTAGAAATGTTAAATAACGTAGGGCGAAGAACCAATCACTGTGGCCCCCCACTTGAAACACCCCCTTGATGTTGATTCCCCTTGTAAAATGACATTTTGAGACCTATCAGTTAGCCAGTTTTTAATCCATTTAATGTGTGCCATATTAATTGTGTATCATTTGAGATTTTGATTCAAAATGTCATGTGGTATCAAGTCAAACGCCTTACAGAAGTGTAAGTATATTATGTCAACACTATTACCCTTGACAACCAAGCTTGTGATCTCATCAAAAAATGATATCAAGTTAGTTTGAAAGGATTTATCTTCCATAAACCCATGTTGAATTGCATTAATTACATTACACTCCTTTAATTCTTTATTAATCAAGTTCCTGCATCAGCTCCTCCATTATCTTGCCTGGGCTCAGTGTGAGGCTGACAGGCCTATAATTACCCAGGTCATCCTGTTTACCCTTTTAAAAATTGGCACAACATTAGCTTTCTTCCAGTCTTCTCGAACTTCCTCAGCACTTGAAGACTTATTAAAAAATCAACATTAACGGTCTAGCAAGCTCCTCAGCCAGCTCTTGTAAAACTCTTGGATGCAAGTTATCTGGATCTGCTAATTAAAAAACGCCTAGCTTTAGTGGCTTCTGTTAAACATCCCCATGAGATACTAGTGGAATGGAGAGAGTGTATATGATGAGGCTGTACCGTCTGTTTTCCCCCCAAATATGGAAAGGAATCCATTGGGATTCCTGACCCTGTCCCCTGCTCAGAGCTCTGCTTCCCGTATCAGCCTGTGGCTGGCAGGCGTGTGGGAAATAAGAAGTCTGTGCCTTCCTCCATCTGCTGGGGGGACAAGGAGCTCTCACCTTCTCCCCACCCCCTGAAGCCTCCTGGCTGCTCTGAGCACGGTGGGCTTGGAATTCTGCTACTCTAGTCCTCCGAGAACTTCTGGGTTTTTGCCTTCCTCCTGTGTGACTAGTGAAATAGTGGCTGGGGCAGCAGGTGCTGAGTGGGGGGACTCTTGTTGTTTCAGATGCCGGTGACCTTCGAGGAGGTAGCTGTGTATTTCACCCAGGGGCAGGGGGCTCTGCTGGACCCCGCCCAGAGAGCCCTTTACAGGGACGTCATGCAGGAGAATTACGAGACCGTCACCTCGCTGGGTAAGGGATTCCCGTCCCCTCAGTTATTAGAAGCCGTGGGGTCTGCGTGTCTGAATCTGGTCAGGTTCTTCCTGGTCAGTTAGATTAGAGGGGAATGGGTCCCATAGTTCACAGCTCCAGTGTGAGAGAGGCTTGCATCTCCATCCCCTCCAAAGCGGTCAGGGAGTCGTAAACCCAATGGACATGCTAATTCATCCCGATCCCTCCAGCTTTCAAGGGGGCAGAAGGCATGTATTGTCCTGGCTCTGTTAACTATAACTCACATGCAGAATCCTTGTTGGTCTCCTTTCCCAGGAGACCGAACTTGACCTAAGAGGCTCCTCCAAGCATCTGGGAAATGCACTGAATTGAAACTGACCCTCCTGCCCCATCACCTACTTTGAGATTAAACTGCATTCCTTTGCCATTCGTGTTTTTTTAAAAATTCAGCTGCCTGTTGAGCCCATCTGCTTCAAAAGCCTCCAGCCCATGGTGCACATAACAGTATACATCTTGTGCGCAGGTGCTGTTGCTCTGAGGCTGACTCGGGAACCAAGGATTTTGACATTGGGGGTGTGAGACTAAGGCAGGAAAAAATGTCTCTCACCTCATATTATGCAATCTAGATCCCTGGTATCAATAACAGGCAACCCCAAAACTATCACTATTCACCATGAGGTGCAAAGAGGTTACTGCAGTGCAGCTTTTTGATTACATTGATGAGTCTGAACTGGATAACTGCTCATTGACTTCAGTTTCCGGGTTTATGCTAATTGAGTCTTGGTGGTAGACTAGCTCCATCCATGGGGAGGGCTCTGGAGGTTTAGAACTAGGTAGGGGTTTAACCCCAGAGCTGTGTCTGCATCAGCAAATCCCCCAGAGTGCACAGACCCTGGAAACTCCTCGTGCGGGGATGGTCTCCCACCCCCAATGTCTGCTTCTCTCAAGGGGGCTCAGTGATCATGCTTCCATCTGTTCAGATTATTCATGCTCCCAGCACAGTGTGGGGCCAGGTTAAATTCCGGGAATGTTCCTTGTGACAGATACTCTCCCAGTATTCCATACACCCTGATCTTGTCTGATTTCACCCCCCGAGCAGGATTTCCCGTTCCCAAACCTGACCTGATCGCCCGGCTGGAACGAGGGGAAGAGGCGTGGGTCCCGGATCTCCAGGCCTCTGAGAAAAAGGAGGTCCCGCGAGTCACCCACACAGGTGAGGAGTCAGTGAAATTGACATAGAAACTGTGTGGTGAGTGAAGGAAAAAGCTGAGACTCCCAAAGATGTGCTGTGAACAAACTCCCCCAGGTCTGCCCCGTCTCACCCAGGTCAGGGCTGTAATCAACAGGTCGTGCCTCACCATGACAGATATCACTCACAGCTTCCCACCCATCCTTTAGCTGTATGCAGTTTCCTCCCCAGCTTTACTCCCCTAGGAGTGTTTGGGTGGGATGTGGAGGCAGAATCCAATGTCTCCAGCTCCCCAGCAGTCACTGTGTGGTGTTTTCCCTCTTTGCTGTTCCCCTTTTGGTCCCTTCTCCCCGGCACAGGCAGTGACTCCTGTCTGGATTCTCTCTCTCCCAGCAGGTGATGAGACCGTGAGTGAGAACAAGGAGGTGACTTGGCAGGTGGAACCAGAGAGGGCCTTTTTGAGAGGAGCTGAAGGGAATTTTCCCCAGGGCTTGGAACAGGGAGAAGCCTGGGGAAATCGGGGTGGGTCAGAGAGGCAGCTGGGAAACCAGCCAAGGAAGAAAGTGGATGCATCAGTTCAAGGTGGGGGAGGATGCACAGATCCCAAGGAAACCACCGCCCAGCAGACAAATCCCAAGGATGAGAAACCCTACAAATGCCTCGACTGTGGGAAAAGCTTCAGTGTGAGAACGAACCTTATTACGCATTGGAAAAACCACACGGGAGAGAAGCCCTATAAATGCTTGGACTGCGGGAAAAGTTTCCGTCAGAGCTCACACCTTATTACACATCAGAGACTGCACACGGGAGAAAGACCCTATAAATGCCTGGAGTGTGGGAAAAGTTTCAATGTGAGATCGGCCCTTATTGCACATCAGAGAACTCACACGGGAGAGAAACCCTATAAGTGCCTGGACTGTGGGAAAAGCTTCAATGTGAGATCAGCTGTTATTAGACATCAGAGAATCCACACGGGAGAGAAACCTTATAAATGCTTAGATTGTGGGAAAAGCTTCAGTCAGAGTTCCAGCCTCACTAAACATCGGAGAACCCACACGGGAGAGCGACCCTATAACTGCCTCGTGTGTGGGAAAAGTTTTAGCGACAGCTCGTCCCTTATTAAACATGGGAGAACCCACACAGGAGAGAGACCCTATAAATGCCTGGACTGTGGGAAATGTTTCAATCTGCGATCAGCTCTTCTTGCACATCAAAGAACCCACACGGGAGAGAAACCCCATAAATGCCTGGACTGTGGGAAAAGCTTTAGTCAGAGCTCAAACCTTGTTACACATCAGAGAACCCACACGGGGGATAAACCCTACAAATGCCTCCACTGTGGGAAACGGTTTAACGTCAGTTCAGCCGTTATTACGCATCAGAGAATCCACACGGGAGAGAAACCCTATAAATGCCTGGACTGTGGGAAAAGCTTCAGTCATAGCTCAAACCTCACTAAACATCAGGGAATTCATGAGGGGGAGAGAGCCTATAAGTGGGACATGTTTTAATAGGAAGTCAACCCTTAATACTCATCAGGAGACCCCCAGCATGGGAGAGAGACCCCAGAAATGTCTCTGTTGAGGGAAAAGTTCGATTCAGAGATCAGCCCTCGTTACGCATCAGACAATCCACAAAATAGAGAAACCCCATAAGTGCTTGGACTGTGGGAAAAGAATCAATAACAGCTCAGGCCTTACTTAATGCTGGAGAACCCACATGAGAGAGAAAAACCTTGAATGTGGGGCAGGCTTCCCTTAGTTTCTGGCAGCAGCAAATCCGTGCAGGGAAGAAACCACTGAGATGTCCTTAGCAAGGCAAATGCTCCAAGTGGAGCCAACACCATGTCAGACATCAGAGACTCCTCCCCACATGGGAGAATTTCTTTCAGGGGCCTAACTAGGACTGGCCATGGGGACAAACCCATTTCCTCATTCCCACACACATCAGGGGCATTTGGCTCCCAAGGATCCAGCTGCCCATCACTGGGGTGAGGATCCAGCAGCAGCTGGTCAGTGACCCTCTGGCTCTGCCTGGTCTAAGCAAACCCCAAGCAGAGGAGGAGCCCTCATCAGCCCCTCCTCCCTGCTGCAGCCCTGAATGCTGAGCTGATGGGCCACAGATGGGGGAAGGGAGAGAGAGAAACTCCTCCAGCCACTCCTTCTGCCTGGCTGAAGTTCCCCCCTCTCCCTTCCCCTCCCAGATGGGATCCCCCTGCCATGGAGATGAGGAGAAGGGCACTTGGGCCAGGCCTCACCTTCACTCTAGACCCCTGTCTCCATCCCCCATCTTTCACCAGCCCCTGGGCTGGGCTCCCCCACTTACCTGGAGCTGTTCCCTGCAGGGGGAGTGTCCCTGGAGGCTGGTAACTCCTCCCTCCCCAAATTCCCCAAGGCGCTGGGCTCTGGGGCGCCAATCGTTAAGGGACCAGGACGATGGGTTATGGGGAAGGGACTGAGGATGGAATGGTTGGAGCTGGGAAGCAGGGGGAGCTGGGTGCTGGGCTATCGAATGTTTGGGGATCATGGGATAAGAGGCGAGGGAGAGCACAGGGGTAGAGAGGTGCTGCCTCTCATCACTCACCCCTCTGCCCCTTCTCTGTGTTCAGACAGCACCACTAAGTGGGACTGATTCCCACAGGGCCTTTTGTGGGAGGCCTGGAGATACCACCTCTGCCTTGGCAGCATCAGCCTCTGAGCGTCCGCCTGTGGTAGGAAACGTGGTCAGGATCAGCCAGCTCGTCTCCTCTGACCCTCCCCCATTCATCCTACCCTAGATTCACCCAGAGCATCTAATTCCTTCTGATCCTCACCGTTAGCAGATTTCAGGGTAGCAGCTGTGTTAGTCTGTATTCACAGAAAGAAAAGGAGGACTTGTGGCACCTTAGAGACTAACAAATTTATTTGAGCATAAGCTTTCCTGAGCTACAGCTCACTTCATCTTATGCACAATTAGCAGAGTGACTGTTAGAGTCACTGAGTTCCCCCTTTGGGGGTAGATTCTCTCGCTCCCAGCTAGTCTCACCTTGATCCAGGCCGTGCTGGCAAGCATTTCTTTTTGTACATTTTCTCTCTTACAGACGAGAATTAAATGGAGTCTAGAAGAGTAGGAGCAAGGATAGTAAAGGGTAGTGTTTTAGGTGCTGTGCTATTTGAGAGCGATGGGGTGAGTCCGAGGGATTCCCTCCTTCCCCCGTCACTGTCATGCTCCATCCTTGACGCAGCAGTCTCTGTCCAAGCTTTGGAGAATTTTATCCTCTCCCCATTCTACTCCTCCAGCTCCCAAAGTGTCACTTACTACAGTGCCCCTGGCTCTCCGTGCACAGGAATCACACTTGGATGCTAAACCAGACTTCTGGAGGTGAAAGTGTCACCGACCTGGGCCAGGGTGGGGGAGGATTCAGATGAACCCCAAAGCACAAACTGAGGTTTCTGAGCTTAAATCCCTGTTTCCATCTATTGGTAAAGTGGCTTCTGGGCTTTTCAGAGCCAAGTACAGATCATTTGTCAAGGGGAAGGTTTTTGTTTTTGTTTTTTTTTCCTGTTTCGTTAGGAGGATGGCAAAATGTTGTAACTAACACAACCGAATAGCGAGGAGGCGCTGAGTGAAGCAGGGTTAGCCAGCTCAGAAGAAAATGAGTAAATTTGTTCTCCTGATTGTGAATCAAGATTCTCTGGAATTTTGCTTTCTGAATGTGAAAGTGCTTCATAGCCCCCCTGTATCGTGGGGTTTTCTTTCCTGAAGGTGTTGGGTCATGTACTTTGATATTAGTTTGGTTTGACAGGATGTAGCTCAGGTGTATTGGGGACGTGATGTGGCAAATGACCATTTGCCAGAATAGTCCTTTCCTATTTTCACCTCTATCCCGTCGTGCGATTTTCATGTGGTTTGAACAATGCCAATTGTCAATATGTATCCGCACAAACAGAGGGTGAGCGCCAGATTTACACTCCCAGAGGCAGAGACTGAAATGGAGAAGGAAGTTACTGCCTGATCCCTGCAACGATGCGAGATAGAGTCAGGAGGGGGATGGAGTGGGAGGTGAGGGGTACAGAGCTGGAAGACTGCACATTTCGCTCTTGAGAGCCAGACCGCCAATACTGATAACTGTGAACTTGCTGCAGCTGTGCTAGAGAGAGACACAAAATGTCCTATGAGTGCCATGGGAAGACGCCCCTGAAATCTAAAGGGCTAGGAATGATGCCCCAAGAGAAAAGAGGTGGGGAGAGGGCAGCGTCTCATCGTTGCTGAAAGGACGAGACTAGACAGATGTAAGAAGGAAGCTGGGGAAGTCACGAGGCCTGAGCTCCCCAGAAGCCAGGCTGACCCCCATCAATGAGGCCAGAGGGAGAGGAGGACCCTGAAATTTTAGTTCCTCCCCTCCCCATCCGCCGCAGAGTCCTGGGTGCAGATGAGAGAATCCCTCTGTGCCCCGCTCACCCCACACTGCATCCCTTGAACCTGAGCTCGTGGGGTTTCCTGTTCTCGGAGCATTTACTCTTGTGACTGGATCTCGGCATCGCTCGCAGATTGTCTGTGCTTTTCTACCAGTTTTAACTTGTTTCTCTTTCCCTGGTGCCTGCGGGAGCAGCACAGTGCTGGCCTGGGACAGAAGTGGACCGTGCTGAGCCGGGCTCCGGGCCCTGGCTGGGGAGGTGGGTTTAGCTTGTATTTCTCATTTGGAAATGATAAAGCAGAACATAGTTTCTCAACCTCTCAGCATCTCTTGTCGTGAATATTAATCAAAATGGGCTTTCATGGAAGCCTCTTGGAGGTGTTATTTCTCTTTCCCTGAGCACCACAGACTGCAGATGCGAAAGCAGCCAGCTCTGTGGGATTTCAGAGTCTTCTAAGGCGAAAATCCATCATCTGCAGGGAAAATCCCCACTGGCTGTCCTGTCCCATTCACCCGCCTCCTGCGGAAGAAGAGTCAGTCAGGCTGGGGAGGCATTTTTTTGAACCTTGGTGAAGCAGCTATGGAGAGGAATGATGATAACCTGTTCTTTAAAACAGTGGTTCTCAACCAAGGGTACACATATCCCTGGGGGTACGCAGAGGTGTTCTGGGGGGTACATCAACTCATCTAGATATTTGCCCAGTTTTGAAACAGGCTACATAAAAAATACTAGTGACGTCAGTACAAACGAAAATTTCACACAGACCATGACTTATTTGTACTGCTCTATATGCTATACACTGAAATGTAAATACAATATTTATATTCCAATTGATTCATTTTATAATTACATGGTAATGATGTAATGATGAGAAAGGAAGCAATTGTTCAGTACTAGTGGCTGCAACACTTTTGTATTTTTATGTCTAATTTTGTAAGCTAGTTGTTTTTAAGTGAGGTGAAACTTGGGGATACGCAAGACAAATCAGCCTCCTGAAAGGGGGACAGTCATCTGGAAAGGTTGAGAGCCACTGCTTTAAAGCACATTGAAATCCACCGATGAAAAGTGCTATCTGAGAGCCAGGTATTCCGATTTATTTTTGGCCGCACAAAGTGAGGCCCTGCGCTCAGCGTGATGGCATTTGTCCGTTTGGACGCAACGCAATAACTTTCGATTGCTGCACCCAATCAGTTCTAACGTTTCAGGGAATGTACCTGGCAGCCCTCAGGAGAAGGCTGCTGGGTTCGGTGAACGTCGGAAAATTCTGAGGGGTAATGGTGGATGCATGGGGCTCTCCAGGCATCTGGTCCCTAGCCCACTCTGCTTCAACCAGTGAGCAATTGTCGAATGTCTGGTGCATGGCTGCCACTGAGCCCTGGAGGGCTGAAGGGACTGTGATGTTGCAATACCTAACTTTTAGGTGTCTAGAAAATCACTGAAACAACCTTGGGGTCTGGAAAGGCTGAATTAGTCAGCTAAGCTCCCTGTACCGTGCATGGGGAAACTGAGGCATCTAAGGATGGGATCTACAAAAGCCAGCATGTTAGGCAGGGAGCTGCCTAAGCTAGGCGATGAGAGATGCTGATGTGAGGGGGTCCCTCAGTCTCTCCTGCGAAACCTGTCACACTTTGCAGCAGTCCGACGGAAAGGGGCCTTCCCAGGCAGGTGCCCCAACCCCAGACTGCAGAGTCGATCTCTTGCTGTGGCTCAGTGAATGTCCCACCTGGGCTGGGCACAGCACAAAGGGGCCTTTGATGAAGGTCTCTACCCAGCACAGACCCTGCCGGGGGACAAGCAGCTGCTCAGTGTGGGCTCCCAAACCCCAGTGGAGGAGGCAGCAGCTCATGACCCAGGACAAAAAACAGAGACAGATGGAGTGCAGTCTCCTCTCTCTGAGCAGGGACACAACAGCTCCTGAATTGCTCCCCCCACTCCTCTCCCTGCCAGACCCCAACCTTGGAGGAGATCAAGCGTAGTCAGGGCTGGATTAAGGCATATGCTATTTGCTAGCCCCTGTCCAAGGTAATAGGAAAAGGCAGAGGTAGCAAATTATAATAGGCGGAACCCTGTCCATCATAATTTGCTGTCCCAGACAAGAAGATGGAGAAAGGTGAGAGAAAGCAAATTATGATGGGAAAGCCCGCCACCCATCACGATATGGTACCCCTGGACCAGAGGATGGGGAAAGGCAGATGCAGCAAATTGTGACAGGGCAGCAAAAGCGATCAGCAACTGCTTCCAGTAGCAATTTGTGCTCCCAGCTGTTTGCAGCGTGACCCTGGCTGGAGTCTGGGAGATCCCAGACCTGGCATCTGTCCCTTTCCATCTAAACTCCCATAAGGGAGAGTGTGCCAATTTTAGGAAAGAGCTGGACATACAGAGGGGGGAGAGGGAGGATCCTGCACAAAATCTCTTTCTTTTCCAAAGCAAATATCTCAACACCTAGGTCATTTTCTTTCCCCTTTTCCTTTGAGGCAAAGGAAAATGAATGGAATGTAGGTAAATAAAGATTAAAAAGCGAGCATATTATATGTTGAGTCTTTGCCCCTGCTCTTTGCTGTTTTAAGCTAAACCTCTGACTGCCAGAAGCTGGGAGTGGGCGACGGGATGGATCGCTGGATGATCACCTGTTCTATTCATTCCGTCTGAGGCACCTGGCATTAGCCACTGTTGCAAGCAGGGAAGTTGGGAAAGGGGTGGGGTTCACAAAGAGGAATTGTGTGGAGCCTAAAACTGGGACTGAGGCACTTAAGGACCTTTGTGGGTCCAGGCTTATGTTCCAAATTCACTGTTCTTCTTCCTCGAAGCCTCCACTGGCCAGTTTGCCTGCTCTGGCCCCCATGCTGTTCTGCCTCTGGCATCGGCTCACAGCCCCTCTGCAAATGTTCATGGGACCTTCCCATCTTTGCAGCCTGTCACCTGCCTGCCTCTCATCAGGGCATTGCTAATGGGGCCCACTGTAGAGCTTCAGGTCCGTGCTCTATTCCTCAGTACTCCTTGGTGCTTTTTGCACTCTGGTGTGGAAGCGGATTCTTGTGTCAGCTTCATCCTTTGTAGATACACAAAGAGCTTCAAAGTGGGCTAGCATCCACCAAGATCAGCACTGTCCGTGGGTGGGAGCTGAAAGCTAGTCTCCATTTCTAGAGCCTCTGGTGGCTAATAAGGCCAGTTACCTGGCACGGCTTTTTGTGTCTGCATCCACTGGAGGGGGGGAAGAACCTTTCTGGGTGCAGGGAATGGCCAATGGGAGGGAAATACTTGGGCAGAGACAAATGAAAGAGGAAGGAAGGGAAATCTCTGCTGGTTTTGTAACACTGACAGACCCCACTCGTTGGCAGGTACAATTGAACCTGGGGCTTCTGGAGCTTAGTGTACGAGCCTCTACGCCTATGGCCCTTAGGTAAGGCTGTAGAGCAGACTCATTAATCTCTCTGTCTCTAAGTGGTCTCGGTGCCGCTAGATGGGACAGAACACCACACCCAGGAGGTGTGTGGGTTACAGTTTTATGAGGGGGTTATTAGCAGTGGACGTAAGGGGATCATTTCCAGAGGGAGTAACTGTAGAGTCCTGGCCAGGACCCATTTTGGGGGTTTAGTGGGGGGAGGGCAGAAGGGTGCATTGTGGGACCAGAGAGGAGACTTTCAGTGAAGCCAACTCCTGGGGATTCTCTGGCTGTGGGAGCTGTGAGACGGAGCTGCGATCTCGAATTGGGACTTCCCTGTCTTAAGCTGATCTGACCCTTTGACCCTTCCTCCCCCAATCTTCCTGTAGTCCGACAAGGGCTCTCAGCAGTCAGGAATTCTTGGATGCTTCTCCAGAAATAACTGTGTGGCACAAATGAGTGGTGGAGCTCAAATGGAGTAAACTGATTTTGAAGTCACCCTGGATTATTCCATACTTTCCTTAGTACATCTTTCTTTCTTTTCTTTTTTCCTTTCAGTTTAAAATTCTCTTTGAATTTCCTGGGTTTTTAAAACTTGATTTGGGGATAACTGGCTGAGTCCATGAGGCCCTGCCACCCGGCCCTCAATTTGATGGCATTTCTCTGCCTGGCCTTTCCTCCCAGGAATATTCTAGGAGTCATTTGGTAGAACCCTGCTGAGTTTTGTGATAACTAGCAAGGGGAAATCCCTTCCCTCTACTCTCAACCTTAATTCCACACTAGTATACTTTGTGTCTGGGAATTTCCTCATTAAACAAAAATCATACACGAGCACTAAAGAAGACAAGAGATCAATGCAGAAACTTAGCGATGCTTTAATACAATGATTCTGTGCTTCAGAAAAATGAACTAGGATCCAGATGAGCTGTAGAATTCTGAACCATAGTTCTGGAACGTGGAGATTAATATTCACAATCCCCTGCTAGATCCCCTACCCCCACTGTCTCAACCCAAAGGTTTTCCTCTCCAGTCCTCGCCTTCTCCTGCCTGTCACCAGGCCTCCCCATCTCAGTCTCTGATCTAGGACAATGCTAAAGTCCTCCAGGATCACAAAGAACAGTCACCATACAGGCAGATCAACGCCTTTCTAGCCTCCTTTCCCCCCTACTCACACTTTAGCCTCCTAGCTCATAAAGACTGGGATGTCAGAGCCTAGAGGAGCCCATTCCGTGGGGTCCTAATGGAATATTCCCTTCCTGTCTCAGTGACACAGTGTGAGAGGGGGCCATGGCCCTCACACTTTTTGAAAGTGGATGGGCCTGGCAAATCCACTTTTCGCCATGGCCCCCTGACACACACCTCCCCAGCCAGGCCGCAGCTGGAGCCTGGCCGGGGAACCCTGGTAGTGGGGGGCATCACACCATGGACCCTCCACCTGCCTGGGGTGGGGAGGAGGCCGAGAGTAGCCCCTGACCCATTTCCTCATCCTCCAGGTCCCCCACCCAGGGAAGGTGGAGGATCGGTGGCTCCTCACAGCTGCCCTGCTGCACAGCTCTCACCATGGCCAGGCCCGGGCTGCAGCTCTGAGGCCCCAACCAGAGCCAGGTTGAGATAGGAGCCACGCTGGTAGCTGTTGGGAGCTGCGAACCCTCCACCTGCCCTGGGCCGGGGGGCCTGCACTGCAGGGACATGGGCCAAAAGCTGCTCTTGGCACTCCCATCCCCATGGGTGGAGGGTCTGCAGCTCCCGGCCCACTCCTCTTGGCTGGGGCCAGGGCCTTGGGCAGAAGGGGTGGTGCCATGGAGGGGGGGGGAGGCCTCTGGTCCTCCTCTTTTCATCAGGCTACACTGCCCCTGCTCGGAAGACAGGATATTGGGCTAGATGGAATATTGGTTTGACCCAGTGTGGCCTTTCATAAGAACATAAAAACGGCCATACTGGGTCAGACCGATGGTCCATCTAGCCCAGTATCCTGTCTTCCAACAGTGGCCAATGCCAGGTGCCCCAGAAGGAATGAACAGGACAGGTAATCATCAAGTGATCCATCCCTTGTTGTCCATTCCCAGCTTCTGGCAAACAGAGGCTAGGGACACCATGCCTGTCCACCCTGGCTAATAGCCATTGATGGACCTGTCCTCCATGAATTTATCTAGTTCTTTTTTGAATCCTGTTATAGTCTTGCCCTTCATGACAGCCTCGGGCAAAGAGTTCCACAGGTTGACTGTGCGCTCTGTGATGAAATACTTCCTTTTGTTTCTTATGTTTTGCTTGAAGTTTCTTGTTTCATTTCTTCTTATCTTCTGTTCTGAATTCCCCCTGCTCTTTGTGTCTATAATTTTGCATCCTGTGGCTTGGCATTCTGGGGGTTCCCAGAAGGTGGTTAACTCTGGAAAAGCAGCCTGATGGATCTTAGGAAGGTTCCCTGGGGTTATTGCAACACAGGACTAGAAATTTGGGCAGGTAGAAATGGCAACTGAAGAAACAGAACTCCAGTTCTATTCTACTTGCTTAAATCAGGCCATTACATAAGCAGCCCGGCTAGCTCAGTCGGTAGAGCATGAGACTCTTAATCTCAGGGTCGTGGGTTCGAGCCCCACGTTGGGCGAAGCAAGTAAGTTTTTCAAAAGTTAGTGAAAGGTATTGTAACCATTTCTTCTTTCCTGGAAAGAAATGTATGTCTCTAAAAATGTCTGTTCCAAACCTCTTCCTGTTTTTTAAAGAGAGCGAGAGGGACACGCCAGATGCCAGTTCCTGCTCCAGGAGTAAGACCACCCTCTTTCTTACAATCAAAAGATATTATTCTGATCTCCTCTTCTTTCTTTTTCTGTCTCAGCTAGGACAGAAAAACAGACCAGCTGCAATTCCCTATCATCTTTTGTCTCGGTCGACTGGGTTGATTATTAAGGGGGATTGCTCTGGAGACGGACAAACAGCTGATGGATAATTGAATCACACAAAAAAAGTTCAGAGACAAAATTAGTAAATATGATTTTTCTATCCAGCAAAATGGAAAATAGGTGGAGTGTAGGGATTGTGCTTTTCTCCTGTGCATTTATTATACAATCAATCAATTTTATATTTGAAACAGCAGAACCTAAAATAAGAATATGTTTAAAAAATTGCTTTATTATTTTTGTAAAGTGTTTGAAACACATTTGGCCCACAGCTTCAGTAGATTTGCCCCAAGGCTGATTTTGGCCTAACACTGGAGTGGGTTACCTAGGGAGGTGGTGGAATCTCCTTCCTTAGAGGTTTTTAGGGTCAGGCTTGACAAAGCCCTGGCTGGGATTATTTAGTTGGGATTGGTCCTGTTCTGGGCAGGGGGTTGGACTAGATGACCTCCTGAGGTCCCTTCCAACCCTGATATTCTAAGATTCTATGATTTCAGACAAACAAAAACACCCCTTTGATTTAGATGGATGTGCACTGCCCTGTCCTTTATACTGTCTCATTTTTATACATTTTTATAGAGCAGATTTGTGTTAAGTTCTTAAAGGGAGGCTGAAGTTAATTTTATTTGAAACTGACACAATTTTTTAACCCGGTGTTTAAGGGAACAGCCATTAAATGTCATAACCTAAACTTTTTTCTTTCTTTTTTTTTTTTTAAATAAGGGTTTATTGGGCGCCCCTTCTGGTGTCTGTTTTACAAATGTCGTTTCAGGATGGGAGAAACTGACTAAACTAACTGACTAGACACAAACTTGTCAAAGGCAACAAGTGAACACACGTAAAAAAATAGAGAAAAATAAGATTTAATAATGCCGGCATATTTAACACATTTTATCCTCTAATAAAACATTTTTGTTATGATTTGCTGAAGTGCCTTCTGATTCACCAGAGGTACATGGGAAATAAACGAAAAATGGTATATTTGGTTAAATACTGAAACTGCTTTTAGTTTAGCAGACGCTAAATAGGGACGAGAAAAGCGGTAGCTGTCAATCCCTATACTCGCGTGTTACTTTTTCAAAGCCAGGGGCTTGTATCCCAGTAGGGAATGAGTTTTATTCGGTACAGCAGTGGTCTCCCCAGTGATCAGCCACACAAAACCCCTATTTTAAAACCGAAAGGATTAATTTGAATATACTTTCCCCTTATTCTTTAACATGTAATCACTTTGAATTGTCATGAAGCTGATACCGTAA